ATATTATCGGACATCCCTAGTTTGAATCATTGTTCCTTTGGTGTCTGAAGCAGTTTTAACTCAAATTAATTCCCACTGCAATACAGGTTGATTTTGCAAAACAAATTGTCATTAATGATGTACTGAAGAGAAATAACTGCAATAAACTAAATTGTACTGTACCAAAACCAATTTACCCACGTTGTTCTCTTTTCCATGAAACACATACAAAGCACCTACCTACGAGACATTTTGCTAAAAGTTACTACATCTTCCTCCACTGCTGTGTTAATGTCCTTGCAGGATTGTGTCAGTACTGTACAGTATACACATGCATATGTATACATCTTTGTAAATATAAAAAAATGTATACATGTGCACACAGCTAGTGTTCTGCTTTATTATTCACATTATCAACATTTATCATCAAATGTGTCAATTTCATCAATAAATGCTGAAAGTATTTTGCAGATAGTTATATCCAGGATAAAGTGCCTTTACTTTAAAACATTCTGTAGGTTTTTCCATGTAGATTTTTGTTGAGAGTCTTAAGGTCCTGTATATCGCACTCACTGTTTCCCTGTCAGGCATGTTCTCAAATGTCTGTCTCTTTTGTTTATTTTGCTGTTCCCTTTGTGCATACATACTTGCCTCAGTGTATTCAGATCCATCTTTGCCTTTCCTCAACATGACACGGCTTTATGCTGTCCGTTCTGTGTTATGGGATTGATCTTTTCCAGTGTGACCTCAGTATCGCTGTCTAAATTCCCAGAGATGGCTGGGGAGAGTTTCTCCAGGGCGTTGTTTACCATCCCCACCTCGATCTCCCCTCCACATCCATCCTTCTTCTGTAACTCCTCCTCCTGACACAGGATACTGTGGGGGATCACATAACTGGCTGAATGGTTGCCCTCCTTTGGGATGTGACTCTTGGGCTGATACTGACAGTTGGGGTTTGAGGTAGGGGCGCCCATGTTGTTGTTAATACTGACTATCTCGATGGCGTTGCTCCCTGGGCAGAGCCGGTGGCAGCCCAGGAGGATGGAGAAGGCCTTGCGGAAGTCGGCGTTGAAGGCATAGATGATGGGATTGAGCGAGGAGTTTGCCCAGCCAAACCACACAAACACATCAAAGGTGGTGGAGCTGATGCAGGGGAGGTCCGTAGCACCGTCCGGCAAGTTTGGCTCACAGAACGGAACCATGCAGTTAAGGATGAAGAAGGGCAGCCAGCAGCACACAAACACTCCCATGATGACTGAGAGCGTCTTTAAGACTTTGGTTTCTCGCTTGAACGACATTTTGAATGAGCTCTCACTCTCCATGTTCGCACTATTCCCCATGCTGCTATGACGGTTTTTGGCACTCTCTGCTGCCCGCTCCAAGGCAGATATTCTCCGTATCTGTTTCTGGGCAATACGGTAGATTCGGGTGTAGGTGACGATCATAATAGCTACGGGAATGTAGAAGCTGATAAGGGAGGAGGAGATGGCATAGGTCCTGTTAAGGCTTGAGTCGCAGTTGTCAGGGGGCAGATCAGCTGGGTATGTTCCATTTAGCTCTGCGTAGCTTGTAGTCTGAGCTTTGTGCCAGTTAAGCTGAACAGGAATGAAGGAGATAAGGACGGACAGGGTCCATGCCACACTGATCATCAGACATGCCACTTTAGGGGTCATTTTGCGTTCATAGCGGAATGGGCTTGAGATGGCCCAGTAACGGTCGACACTAATCACGCACAGGTTCAAGATGGAGGCAGTTGAGCACATGATGTCAAACGCCACCCACACGTTGCAGAAAGCACCAAACGGCCAAAACCCCACAATCTCGGTTGCTGCCTTCCAAGGCATTACCAAGATAGCCACCAGAAGGTCAGAGATGGCCAGCGAGATAACAAAGAAGTTGGTGACCTTCGACCTCAGATGTCGGAACTTGGTGACGGCAGCGCACACAAGCGTGTTGCCTAGCAGCGTAGTGAAGATGAGGAGAGAGAGGAAGCATCCTGTCAGCACACGTTTGGACGAGTCCTTCTCGGGTAGCAGCTGCTTGCCATCTCGAACCGTTGAGAAATTCTGATCCATTGTTTATATTACACTGCTAATAAAGTGAGAGAGGGGGTGGGTGAGGGGGGTGTCAACAGTCACCCCATCACATCCCCAGCCTGAAGCAGCTGTGCCTCTCTGGGGAGGAGTTTTAGACGGATGGCGTGGCTGGTGGAGAGGTCAATTGTCTCGGCACCAGCTCTCCAACGGACTGGGTCATCCATAGGCTCCTTGTCACAACCACCATCCTTACACAAGAGCTGCTATAAATATTGCAAAAAGATCTCTTCGGAAAGGTTCCCCCTAAAAATTCCTGCAGCAGCAGTACAGGCAGCAGACATTCTAGTGTGAAGAGGATGAGGAGTATTCCAGCTGTTGTTTGCAATTATCTTTCCAATCAGAGATGTAGTCATGAAAAGCAGCAGCAAAAAAATAAAAATTACATTAAAAGTCCTCACTGTGTGCCTCTGCTGTCAAAGCCCTCAGCGAAAGTTTCACACTATATTGTTGCCCAGCTGTTGAGTAAACAGAGGCTTGGCCAATCATTAGCCTTATATACCGCCTCATCAATAACTTCTATTGATGGTTTTCGCGCTGCGTTTATCTGATTTGTTTAATGATCCTCGAGGCGTGTCCGTGTGATTATATTGGTGCCTGTATCGACGCTCATCCACCCCGGCTGCTAGGTGTTGCGTTTTATTTATTTATTTATTTATTTTATTTCTTTGAATGCAGCTCCCTGTCACTACATGGCACAGCCTCCGGCCAACGTTTCCACCTGAGCGGTAAGCCAAAAGATTAGGCTGAAAACACCATTCAAAAGTCTCAACAGTCGATTTTGATATCAGAGAAACGCATCTTAAATGTTTTATTCATCCAATGTAGGAAAGCGCATCAGTATCACGGCTCTTTCTTTATGCTGACATGTCGCTATAATCCAGATGCGATGTCATTTTCCCCCCCCCTTTTTATTTAGTTTGCGTGACCATTTGTGTGGACGCAGCAGAACGACCCCTCGGCTTTCATAAACATTCAAGAGTTTTTATGGCCACCAACCTAAATGATCTCTTGCAGTGCAAAATCTCTGGGGTTGACGTCTTTAAAACAGAGGCGCAGTTAATTGTCTTGTTTTCTAAATTTTTTTAGCCAGCGTGCGCTCCGCTCTGTGGATGTGGACAGCTCGGGACCCACAGCAACGTCTTAGGTTGGCTTGAAAAATAACTGAATCCAAAATGAAACTCCGGAGAAGTGTAATCATTCAGTCCCCCAAAATCCACATCTCTCCGGCGTACATCCAACTTGTATCTTGGTACCAAGTGAAGGAGGTATGGGAAGTCAGTCCCCCTGCTGCGACGGTCCTGGGTGTTTTATCAGTCCTTATGATTTTCCTTTTTTAGGGTCTTCCTTTGTTGTGCAACATTCAGTTACCCTGTGATGTGTCTGCGGTCTGACTGGCCGGCGGAGAGTGATGGGAATGACTCTGGTCTCGCCAAGACCGTTTTCCATGCGCGCTCCTCTCTCTCCGCTCAGCTGCTGCCTGCTGCTGTGAGCCACGGTCTTTGCCACAACTGCTCCATCTATCCAGAGAGGCGGTGGAGGGTGAAGCCACCCAGATTCTCACTGCACGGCGCACCTTTTGTTTGCTAAAGAGAGTTCAGCCACATGATTTATGATGGCATAAACCTTTATGAGCAGAATTTATGGCATAGGCCTATATACTATATGGTAAAATCCAAATAGATTTTTTTCTGTTTCCCAGATTTCTATCTGGAATCTGATTCCCAGTTGGTGCCAGATTTTGGTGACTTTGGTGAACAGGCTAAATCACAAACATAAAGTTTTTTTTTTGTTTTTTGATGAAATTCCCTCTATCTGCTTGTACTTTATTTCAGACTTGACCTACACTGTCAAATAATCCTAATATCGCTACTGTAAAGTCACAAAAATAAAAGAGGAGCTAAAAAATGAAGGTGCCTCGATGGCCTGTGATGAACTTCTTGCCAGCAGGCATGCACACAGAGGCACAATGAGGCCATCTACTGGATGCAAGATTGTGGAGAGATTATTATGTGAGAGAGTGAGCTGCAGCGCTCCTTGCATTAACGTCACCTCAATAAACATGACTGAACAACTCTGAATTAGATTAGAGTCCCATGAGCCAGGCTGCAGCAGGAAGACCCATGAAGTAAGAGAGACACTGAGTGTTGAAATGTGTGTGTGTTTGTGTGTGTGAATTACAGAAGCTAATGTTATCATGCCGCCAGCAGCCTGCCGGGCCTGGCCAGTTTGCATATTAACTATTTAGCTAGATGAAATCCTCAATGGACTCTGTTCCCCTGTGTGTGTGTGTGTGT